TAGCTGAAATCCCAGGAACCTGCTTTGGAGCTCGAGAGTGACAAGATGTTGGTCAAGGAGGCTGTGCGTGCGACACACAAGAAGCAGCTGTTTCATGACATGCCTGCCCCTCCACTCAAAGCTGCTTTCCGCGAGAACCTTGCTGGTGCTCCGACACAAAAGGAATCCAAAGACACTGAGATGCAGAAGGATGCCAAGCAGTCCTCCGATCCCCCTGAAAAGAGTCCACCTAGTGATCCCCCCCACAGGAAGGCTCCTCAGATCCCGGATCCGAAGGGCAAGCCAGCAGAGGCAACACAGACGGAACCCCCAGGTCCCACACCAGCAGCGGCAACACGGAAGGAATCCAAAGGTGCCACACCGCCAACGGCAACACAGAAGGAATCCAGAGGTGCCACACCGCCAACGGCAACACAGAAGGAAACCACAGGTGCCACACCGCCAACGGCAACACAGAAGGAATCCACAGGCACTGTGCAGCAGAAGGGTGCTGTGCAGTCATCCGATCCCCGTGAAAAGAGTCCTAGTGATCCCCTCCAGAAACAAACGCTTCTCCGTGCATCAGCTGTGCCTGAAGTGTCCGATGAGCATGACAAGCAACGGCAGAGTCGTCAGTCGGTTGCACTGCTCAGCAGTTGTGTACTAGTGTGCGGTTTCTACTTTAAAGTAACCTAGCATAATTTAGCAGATAGCGTTAATTAGGACATGTGTTGCATTGGAGAGTTCGAAGCATAATTAGTACATAGGCTTATAAGGGTTTTACTGTGAATGCTCGTCAGATTGCAATAATTATAAATATACATACTAGAAGTACATGTATCTGCAGTATATATGTATACATATATATATATACTCCGATACAATTGCTAGTGTGTGTGTGGATCTTGGCGATTTAATTGAAATAGCACACAGATGACCTGAATGATATATCCTGAGGACTTATATTATCATACATATTCACCTATAATGTATACATGTATGCTTATGTGCATGTTACTGTGTCACTTCTTACGGGTGCCATCCTCTCGGAGCTCGAGCTCGCTGTGTATGTATCTACAGATGCCCAAGTACATATCTGGACCTATATAATACATATATACACGATATGTATATGCGTGTGTATGTACATACACACGCACATGCTGTTAAATATATGCAAGTAAAAGTGGTGTTCGTCTACATATATATATATATAATAATATAACTATGATCTCGACTAGTATACTCTAGTGTATCAGATCTCAGCTCGTGTCAATGTTTACGTGTGTAGTACTTTATTATATCATCATCTGGAGGACTGGCACTTGCTACAGTTTTATATATAGTACAAGTATATACACATCATTATATTACATCATATATATATATACATATATATTATGTATATATATATATGTCCACAGACGCACACACACACACACGCACACGCACTCGAACTCTTTGCAATTCCTGTGTTTCTCTACATATACTATAACTATATCGTGCCAAGTGCAAGATGCTTACATGTGTACGTCGTACACGACATACCTCATGATTGTACCAAGGTAAGCCAAGACATGCGGATACGCAAGAGACCGTCCCCATGTACCGTGGTGACTCCCTGGTGTCCGAATTTGGTCATATACAGAATGACATGACTGCAAAGATCGACCCCGTGCTGAACCTTGCACATACTCTCCAAGGGCGTGGCGATTTGCAGCCGGCAATGAAGATACTGACTCCAGAAGACACCTGTCTGGACATGCTTGGACCCCCAGGTCGGCTGTGCTCATGGGTCCACCGTTCTGGGACGGATCTACATGTGGAGGAAAAGGCCTGGGAAGTGGTTAAATGGATCCGGGTTGTGGCACGCACATGCAACGACTTCGAAGGCATGGACCCGGTGCACGGTCCGATTGCCCACGAGATCCACGACAACTGCGTCTTCATGCTAAATCTGGAGGAGCAGTTCCAACATGCCAGGAAGCAGTGTGATGATTATGCCCGTGTGATCATGCGTGTTGGGGATGCCAAGCGCCTACAAGAGAAAAACTCAGGCCTCAGTGAGACTGCTCTGCAGCAGCGGCTTGAACGAATCGACAAGTGGGAACAACAGAGAGTTGCAGACAAACAGACGGCAGAGAAGATGAAAGCACATGAGCTACAGTCTGCGATCGGCACTTTCTGTGATCTTCTCTTGCGGCTACTGGCTGCTGTGGAGGATGAAATCAAGGCCCTCAAGATGCTCGAGACCACAAATGATCTTGACCTAGACGAAGCAGCTCTTTGCAAAGAGCTGGATGCTAGCCTCATGATTGACGCAGACGAGCCTGCCCAAGGTCTGTCAAAGGTGAAGCTGGAAGGAGAAGCAGCAGCACCTGTGCAGCAGTTGTCTTCAAAGGGTTTAGGGTTTAGGGTTTATTAGATATATTATATGCATACACCTCGATGTTACAACCGCCAGCCTTAAGCACACCCACTATTGTAGAGAGACTTTCAGCTAATTTATTATAAGACTATAGGTATAAGTAGAATGGCAAGCTGCAACTTCTATGTATAATATATTTAATTATAATTATAATCGATTGTTATTATGATAACGAAGTCTAGTTGACTCCCGACCATCCACAAATCCCGAAGCCCGCTCCACCCTGGACCCTGGCCTGGCACAAGGTGTCAGTGTCATGACGATGATGATTTTGATTATTTATGTGTATATAGCTAGAGCACAACCTTATAGAGCTGTACAGATGTGTCATCACTACAGAGCTATATAATTACAATTTATTACCTCTGTATCCTAGACCCCCAGAACCTGATATGATATGGCCAACCTTATTATTTAGCAACAACCGGTCCTTGTCATGCTCATATAATGAATATTATATTAAATCTCCGCGAGATAGCTAAGAAACTGTAGCCCCGAGGATCCTATATAGTATAAACCCTAGGAGTGTTAAAATAAGTTATATCATATATCGTGGGTTGGGCTGATGATAGCAAGAGAGAGGGAGAGTGCCAGGGAGTTTGTTATAGGGCCGCTGCATGTCATTCGATTCGGGTCTACGTATATCTACATATACAAAACCCTCTAGATGATCCGCACAAATTATCATAATTAGAAGTAACCGTACATGAACCAAAATCTATACCTGCTTTGACTACTCATCGTACTGTTATCACATCTACATCCCTAGAGCCCATGACTGGCTGAGGAGCCGGGCGAACGTCCGGATCCTGTACCTGCATCGACTGCGTCTTGTGCGCAAGCTGGCATGCAAGCTGCTATGGCTCGCATGGACACTTCGGAGCTTGAGGCTGATCATAAGGGGTCGAATGTCTGATTGCAATTCTATACACCCAACTCTAAACCAATCAGGTTTTAGTCAAATGCAGAGCAGGCCCGGCACAGCCTGCTGAGCTCGATGTCCACGAATCCTGCAGCTGCACCAGCACCTGCTGCAGCTGTGGAACCCAAGATCGAGGCACCGGAAGGCGACCAGGAGCAGGACAATGCCGACAAAAAACGTCTTGCACACAATGCCCGAGTCCGATTCGATCGAACCTTGAAGAGTACCCTGTCTTATAATGCAACATGTGTACACCCGTATACCTAGGTACCTGTTGACATCTAGATTTATAATTATCAGTTCCGCCATTGCAAGATAAACGGCTCCACGACATCTCGTTTCACGGCAGCTGAGGCGCTGACTGCCCCAAGGAAGTCCTCTCGAAGGTGGACGAGATTCAGGCGATGCCCCGACAGAGTGGCTTAAATACATTGGGGGTAACTTATAACAAGTCCAGTACTGCATTCAAGTTTTGCCTGTGCTCATGCTGTCATCGGACTCACGTACACATATCAGATCCAGCCTACATGGGCCACCCAGCTACATAATTTTAAGGCCGCCTCAAAATGCTCTCCTCCTGGTTCCAGCAGTGGCTGGAAGCGGGAGAGGACTGGACGTCGACAGCTCTTTATTTGGATGCCAAAAAAGTGCAGGAAGACTCCACCAAAGGACGCGAGGTTATGAAGCCGTTTAAGCTACGAGAGCAGTTTGGCAAGAAGGTGGCGGAGGGGATCCGAGAGCGAAAGCGGGCAGCTGAGAGAGTCAGAGACGACCGGGTGGACCCTAAACCCTTTGTGATGGATCATCCGGATATTCATGATGACCCCGTGCCCTGGATTCCGATTATAAATTATAGACATACTTATAAATAGTTAAGATCAAAACACGATTTGTAACTACGCATTAGTATCATACCCACACTCAGGACTGGGAGCTGTTCAGGGTCTTCGAGTCCATGGAGTTCGAGCTGAGTGAAGTCAACTCATCGGCTGTGGGCTCGCGCACGGATGTGCGCCTTTCGGGGGGGGCAGCCTCACAGATTGCGAGCCTAGCACTGCACTAGGATGGCTTCTAGGCTAAGGTTGCTTTATTATAAAATTAGATGGATTGCAGTATTCGTTGATTCTTATCATGGATCACGGGATATGTTTAATTTGTAACCCGCTACAACGGCATCAAAACATATTCTATATATTGCATGATGATATCAGGGCCAGGTCAATCTAGAACTCGAGGGCTTCAGCATTGACCCCTACTATACTCTGCTATATATATATATAATATATGTATATTTATTTATTTATTTATTTATTTATTTATTTGTATTATAACATTTCTATACGCAGGTGTTTAGCTTTTCGGCCTTGAACATATATATATATATATAGGAAGTATGTGGCTTTGGTCTCCCTTTATTTCTGGCATTGCAGGTTTATTTAATCTGAGAAGCGAGAGACAGCTTGTTGGACTCTCGAATGTAGTGGTTTCTATATATACATATATATGTGTTCAAGCAATGTCTTGTAGTACAAATTCAAGTTTAGTCTGCTTATATTCTGCATATACTAGTTAATCAGTCACTGAACACTCATATCCCAGCAACAACCCTGGACAGCCATATTCAGACATCTAAACATATACTTAATATGATAGCCGCCCGCTCTACCCCAGGCCAGCACTGACGCCACAGTCTATGGGACCCTGCAGTGGAGGCGACGTCCTTTCCAGGCTGCAGCGTGCCAACTCCACGGACTCTGGCAATGCCCTGCAGGGTGGTGAAACCAAGAAGAAGCCCGGCAAGGTCAACCCCCACGCGATCACGAAGAAAGTGAACACGAAAATCCAAACCCTAGCAGGCAAGCTTACCGAGGTTATGATCTGGGGAAGAAAAGTGGCTGCAGTGGATGAAGCAGATTTGCTACTTGACAGCATGTGCACAACCATGGGATCTGGGACTTGACCGCATGTTTCGACTCTGCGAACTAAATTAAAGAGCTACATTAAATTTCATCTGAGGTGCGAAAAAACCAAGGAGGGTTACCAGGAACAGCTGCAGAAGCAGAGGGTGAAGTTCCTCGAGATCAAGGGGGCCTTGGAAGGCTTGTACAGCCTCCACCATGCTACCAAGGATGTCGATTTGCCAGAGACGGTGAAAGATGATATTGAGCAGCGCCTTCAAGCTGCAGACAACGAAATCACGAATTTCACAGGTGCCCTTAAGCCCCTGAAGCTATCTGTGGAGCCCTGCCGGCATTTAATTTAAAGACAAGCCATGCTATTAGCATGCTAGGTCCTTATAATTATTTGTTTTAGCATGTTTATATATGTGCCCAAGGATTTGCAATTGCACTTAAACATCGTCCGATAGCTTGAGAAGATGCTCCTATGCATGTATGACATTCCAGTCTGAGCTGTCTATGCTAATATATACATATAGTTATTATAATGTGTGTAAATACACATATATATATATATATGGTCTTTATAAGTATAATTAATACACTACATGCACCTATGGGTCGCGGATGTGATCGTATGTACACATGTACATGTGCACTGTGTCGTTTTCTTTGCAAGTGCATGTATATAGTATTAGACATATCCCGTCTCTCGCAATCTCTCTCTCTCTCTCTCGCTTCGTCAAGACGACTAATTCCCGGCACTCTAGTCCCCTATTCTTATAAAGACCGCCTCCGAGGATCCGCCCAAGCCGAAGGCCAAAGCAAAGGCAACCGGACGTGGACGAGCCTGAGCACAGCGCAGTCATGAGACCGGAGTGCTTGGAGCTCACATGAAGCATTTGTTGAGGGCCCAGCATGTGGAGCTAGTGTGTGCAGGGTTATGTCACCACCAAATAAATTATAAGTATATGTGGATGGGTAGTGCATAAACTGATGTGTTTATTATACTGGTATTTATTATAATTTACCTGTATATCACCGTTGGGGGGTGCACCTGGCCCGCATGCTGCTAGAACCTTCAATTGGGGAATGCTTCGATTTTGTGGAGCTTCGAAATCTTTATCGGGTGCACCTTAGATGATCTCTGCTCGGATGCAGCAGGCATGGGTGGCTTTTGTTACCACGTGTACTTACACGTGTCCGAACTCCTCGCCGGGATCCGGCAGCAGCAACAAAGCAGGTTGCAATAAAAGCAAGCTTGATGGGTTATGTGTGCCGCTGTGTTGCCATATAGTGCTGCTCTATTGACAAGATTCTCGAACCCTCGCAGGTGATCTAGCGCGAGCTAGGACTTCTCCTTTGTTCCAGCACCTGCTCCGAGCGGTTGGGCGTGGAGTTTCTGGTATGCAATTATCACATCTGCATGATCTAGGTCTCTGGATCGGCCAATCGCAGTCACGTATTTTTTAAGACGATGATCATACATATAATATACATATATATATATATATAGATGTACATGTGTGTATGATTATATATATATATATATGTATGTATGTAGATATCCTAGAAGTCGCTACCTTCGATTCAGAGTGTACTCCGGATCCTAGTTAATATATGTACATATAACTAAATTTTATAGAACTTCGACTATTCGAATAGTAACTCTGCACTTATCATATTATTTATTACTTGGTTGGTATAATCGAATATAACCCTAAAACCCCGGATCCGATCCAATAACCCGCACGGTCCCAAGGCTTCCTTCAAGAGTGCTCGGGAATCTCTGCAGGCTGTTAAAGAGGACAGACCCGATGTGCTCTATACTGCTATTTGCAATACCATCTATTCGTCTACACTATTATCCGCAGGAGATGAAATGGCACGGCGTCAAGATGCAGGGCCCCTGTGCGCGGCTGGTGACTGCTGGCAACGATGGGAAGTGGACTTCAAACATACAGCGTGACATGCTGCGAGTGAGCTCTACTGGGGATGATGAAGCCTGATTACATTAGAATGTTGTTGCCTATAACCTCGAGGTTGTGAGTATATAATCATATGTAGCCTTCCCCCCGCTAGGCCTAGGCATTGCCAACGACGTTGTCATGGACTTGTGTGCAGACATGCAGGCTCCTATTGTAAATTTCAATACACGACCTAAATATGTAAAATCCTGGGGATACCTATATGTATATACATATATATATATATTCATTTATTTACTTATGTAGATAATTCGCGAAAGGGACAGCAGTCTAAGTACATGTGTATATAATATATATATAATATATATTATAGGTTAGGTTCCAAGTAATTCTAATTATACCCAACCAGTCCGGGATCCAGGCGCCGATCGAGCTTGTGGAAGTTCCCATTCGGCCTGAGAATGGCGACAAGAAGGTCGTCACAAGGCCACTTGTCGTTGCAAGGGGGCTTCAATTTCTTTATGATCCTGACCCTGGTCTCCCATATAATTACAGCTGGAGGGGTCGTGTGGGATCAAAATCTTATTCGAACTCATGATGCAAACCAGGGCGATGCCTATTATGCTTCCACACAAGCTCATTCCATGGCTGGTACGCAACAAGCTGTGGCCGCATATAGCCCTGGCCGATCTGCAACAATACTGGAGGCATCAGAGAGAACACTCCAGCGGCATCGAGGCTTCAGATGCACACCATCCTTTATGGCTATGGGGGGACGATTGTAGATACGGCAAGAAGATAAATCAAAAAGTGATGGTATGCATGCTAGGACATGTTTTGGACCCATGTCGTGACAGCTATCTGTCTTGTCATCCACTTTGGGTGTGTGGCTTCGATTCTTGTCTGCATTGATGAGTGCAATACATATTAATATATCTATATCTATTTACTGCCTATATGATTCCACTACTTTGTATAATACAATAGGTTTAGAGTAGTGTATATGCTTTGTATACTGCTCCCGAGAAACACACAACATTGAGCAGTTACCCTGGGTAATAATATATATAATATATTCAGGTTTGGGTAGACATATCATTTAGTTGTTTTATTATCCAAGGAGCTGAGTGTGGGCATGGCTACACTTGCGGCCTTCATGCGACCAGTGTTTCGGTGGCAATATTATATATCCGTGTGTTGCTACATATGCGGGGTACATGTATACCCATATATACCCATATGCGTGCACGTACACATCGACACCCGAGGTTGTGCAAAGCCTGGAGATTCTGGTCAATGGGGTTTCGGTTTCACGGGCCAGTGAGGCTGCTATGCTTTCGGCTGCATGTACGCAGGTGAGAGCTGATTGGAAATGGCAGAAAGTTCCTGGGATTCTACCATGTTTTCTATTTTTCCTTAAGTCAGAACTGGCTATACACTGCACTAGCCAATTAAATTGCTCAGGAATGGCTCGGTCTAAAAACCGGATGGTCATCCCGTGAGCTGTGCCATCATTGCAGGGTAACTCACACTGCCTATGCCGTTGCTCCTTCGATTCTACACGAGCTGCCCCGAAGAAACCTGGAGGAAATGATGAATTCCTGCACCCATCCTGGCATTCGCAGCAACCCCGCACAACCAAGTGGTTATAAGTTTCTATAATTTATACACTATATTTAATCTAGTATAATAACTATTCCTGTAATATAATCTATTATTTTTATTTTATAATATAATAATAAGGTAATAAGCTCACCCAAATGATAGTCTAAGATAGGCATATATACTTAGATCTCAAAGCCGCCCTGAGCATAGGAATCACCCTTTAATTTCCGAGGCCCACTCTTTGACATCCCGGGAGCGGCCAGCACCACCTACAAGTGGTGTTCCATGCATGTTATCAACCTGGGGGTAGCATTGTGGATCGTGGGGTCCTGCTTCAAGCTGATCTTGTTGGACTTTGCAGGGGTCTGGGGGCCTGGTGATGATGCCGAGCGCTTGCGGGAAGCTTATGCATGCTTCAAGCTTTGGGCCCATGATCACAAAGTGCCGCCTCTTTGACGCACAGTCGTCTGGGGATTATATTGGTTTCAATATATTATGGTGAACCGAATAATCCAATAACAGCCGCTATAGCTAGAACCGAATTGATCCACTAGGCACACTCAACCTCGCTTCACAACGGCTTCGTTGAAGTCGCCCGATGGCCCGTTTCCGGAGCTCCGGGCCAAGGCATACAATGCTCCTTAAATGACTTATCTTAATTTATTACAACTAACAACCCATATTAACCCTAAAAGCTTTAAAGTGACGTCAACCCCAGCGAGCTTAAGCCCAAAAACCCTACATGATGAAAATCATATAAGTGTCGAAGGGGCATGACCCATGGGAGTTGATGGGAAATTCAATCTAATTGCAATATATTATATTGTATCCCCTATACACGCCTAAACCCGAATAATATACCCTGACCATGAATCCCCTTAAAACCCTAAAACCCTGAACCCTTATATATTTTAAAGCCCTGAAACCCTGAAACCCTAAAACCCTAAAACTGATATTAGCCCTAAAACCCTAGACCCCAAACCTTAAAACCCTCAATCAATCAAGGCACGGGTGGTCGTGGCTTGGCTGGCTTCCTTTCTGCTTCAGCTTTATCATGAACGAGAGCCCTCTGAAGACTTGACCCTCATGGCGAAGTGTACGCAACTCAACTGGAATTTCGAAAATATAAAGAGTTCTACATAATTATAATATGGTTTCAAGCTAAACCCGGATCCAGGCACTTTCTGGCCTGCTGGTTCAATGAGTCCGAGGATGCGCAGCGGTACCTCGTGCAGGCCGAAGCTGAGTCAATGCAGCATTCATGCGACCCTTTGTTGCAGCGATCATCTAATAATTTACAATTATAATATAACCCTATAAAACCACAACCCCTAAACTCCATGCGAAAAGCACCTCTACCACCGACTTACAGCGATCCCAAATGGGGTTTAGGGTTGCTTTGTTGAAGCATAATTGTGTATAAGAATTGTACTCCATGGCAAGATTTAAATAACTAGTCGGCTTGGTTGGATCCCATGCAAAGTAAGGACCAGTGCCTCCTGAGTTACTTCCGTTTGGCTGCTCGTGCTGCATCCCTACAGCGACCCATATGGCCTATCAAACCGAAGGTGCATGCATCTAGCTTGTGATTGGAATCATTGTATGCTTGATATCCGGGATTTTTTTCGATTAAGGTCACCGATATTATTTGCTATCGCATGATGCAACACCTCAGGCTTGGCAGGAATTGGCTTGGGGACAAATGGTTCACCGCCACTTGGCCGGATGGCTTTCAATCACTGATTATAGCTTCGAGCCCCTTTTCCAAATCCGAGGTGA